TATTCAGCGGCAATCCCGCCGTGCTGTCAATTTCACTGGTTAAGGATCTCCAGGCTGCAGTTATACCCTTCTCCGGAGATCTCCAAATGGGGGCAAGAACTCTAAAACGGGGCGGGAGCTCCAAAATAGGGCGTGGCTTCCTCCCATTGACAGACAGGCACATGACACGCATGCACACTTTTTCCCCCAATCCACCTCAGTGCAAACTCCGCCCCACAGCTGATTCTAAAGATTTTATTGGTTGTCAATAAAAGTGTTGATTTCCTACACTATGCTACAAAAAAATGCTAACCCCTAAACCTACCCCACACCTGGCCCTAACCTTAACCAGTGAAAATGACAGCACGGCGGGATGCGGGATTGCCGCTGAATAGCTGGTAAAGAAAGTTGCAGTTCAGGAGATAAACGGTTAATAAGATCATGCGAAATGAGATCGTTCCGTAACTCCCCAACCGGATTTAGGAGGTTCTGCCCACCTTTGGAGTTCACGCCCCATTTTGGAGATCTCCGGTCTGCAGTTATACCTTTTTGGAAATTTTTCGGTAACATCGTTAACCAGCGATAATAAGTTAGCAAAGCTAATGTAAATAAATGCACTATCATCAATTGCACTATTTTGTCTTTTTATTTTTGTTTGTTTTCCCCAGTTTGCTTTTTATTTCGCGACAAAATTAACTTGCACAATAGGAATCGAGTTGTATGCATGTATAACAAGACCCATCGTCTCCCCTCCCCCATGTTCACGTCTAGATTACATAATTGCCTATAACTTGAAGGGGGTGTGGGGTACAACACCTCCCCCCTCAGACTTGATCCAAGTACACACACTAACAGCTTCTGTTTCCTCTGGTACAGGCTAACAATGACACTGAAGCAGCTGGGGTAAGTTTGAATCTATTGTTGTGTCACGCAACACGTTTTTGCATGTAATTGTGATACTTATTGCTTGTTTTGTTGCCTTCCCATCTTCTCCTCACCAAATAAACGAACAGCCCAAGAGACGGTCTGAGAGACTTCAAGGTGTAAGTTGGCTTCGTCAGTCCTTCTGAAGTCATATGCACTTTTTTGAGACACACACAGCTTACGCTGAATTCTGTTTTACAGAAACCCCAAACGCCAAAGTCTGAGCCCAAGCCAAAAGTGAAGGTAAACCGGTTATCAATATAAGATAATAAAGGTTATCGGAAGTGGCTTAACCATGTGTTTTTCTGAAATGTCTAACAGAAGGCACCTGCAAAGGGCAAGAAGGCTAAGGAGGTAGAAAAAGCCAAACCAGAGGAGAAAGAGGACGCAAAGCCAGAGACTGAGTCTGAGGAGGAAACTCCTGCGGAGAACGGAGAGACCAAAGATGAGGTAGCAAGTCATTTTATAATCATGTTAGAATAATGAATCTAACCAGGTCCTCTTTAGTAGACATTGTAGTCCAGTGCTAGAGAAAATGAATGTCAGTTAGGGACGTATCTGTGGCTATGTCGGTTACAAACATTTATTTATTTATTGGTTTGGTTTTGTTAACAGGGGGACAATGGAGAAGCAGGAGGCGAGGAGGAAAAGGCTGACTAGAAAGAGGGAGCTGCTAAATAACATGAAAACATTTCACAGGAGCTCCCATACCTCTTTTCTTGTACAATACAAAGGAATATTTTTATTGACTATTTTCTAAAAAGCAGGTTTTTTAGTAGTTCAATATTAGAAGCTCATTTTATAGACCACGATCAAGAGAAAAGCCTTAGAAGAGGGATTCCATTTTTTCCCCCCACTCCAGTTTTTCCTGAAGAAGAATTGCAGTCATGAAACAACTAATGACTTCCTCATTATTATTATTATTATTTGATTTTTATTTTTTTCTGACTCGGTTTTGTTTTTAAAAAGGGAGGGGAGTGGAACAGGTTGCGGCAGATAATGTAATGTAATGTGATCATGCCATTTTTAAAGATAAAAAAGAAATTTCTCATGTTGGGAGAGTTTGCCTGAGACACTAACATTCCATAGGCAATATGAGGGACACCTGTATTGTATGGGAAGGGGGTTCTGTAAGAAAATGCTTTTGTTTTATTGTTTCTGGGGGGTTGGGGTTGATTGTAAGCTGTAGTCTATGAATTGAAACCTCTTTATTCAAACTGTTCTCTGAATCAACAGCTTTGATTAATGATCCTGCTCACTAGTACTGGAACACTCATCGGATGTGTGGTTTACATTGACTTTTGTCTTTGTGCGGTGATAGCATTGCAATAACATTGTTGTATAGCTGCTGTGAAAAGGTTTTCATAATTTCTATATGCAGTATGTGATGGTACTTTTAAGAGGATGAAAAATGGAATTGTGTGTGTTAGCAAAGCTAATAACAGCTGTGTTAGTGTTAAACATGCAGGTCGTAGCTGACGTTATACGAAAAGTTCATTCATGTGAACATGCCAGCAGTAGCTATATCACTCAAGGTTTTAGGTTAAAAGTACACATGTACAGTT